AAGTAAAAAATTTACAAAAATAATACAAGCATGTATACCAATTCAACTGAAGTGTCAGTTTGGAAAATAAACAAGAAAATTCCTGCAAAAGGAATGACAAATCAATATATTTCTTATTAGTTTCAGTTTTTGTATCACGAAGGTTAACGGAGTAGGTAATCGCTTTTGAATTCTTCATCACATTTCCTACTAAGCTTAAAATATTTAAAATATTGGACCAAGTTTAATATTTTGTTGTTGTTTCAAGAGAAGTCGTAAATTAGGATGGAGTGTCTTCTCTATGGCGTCCTTGTCGTAGGAGGGAACAGGCCAAAGGAAATTGTTCCCGTGAGACCATCGCGCCTGAAAGTCCTTACAAATAAAAAAATCTTTCTCGGCTTAGGAGACATTGCTGACATCGCCTACAGAATGAATTCAAATTTTATGAGTTATATTGAGAAACTGCAAATTTTATTAAAAAACCACCATACGTATTTAATTACAGTTTTTCATTATGTCAATGATATTCGAAAAATTTCTTTCTGAAAACCATCATGTTGTTTATATATAAACTGTTTGAGTTTTACTTCCTTAAACTCCGCTTTCCTTGGCACTATGTTGACGTAAATGTGATGTGTTGAACTACATTCGCCATGTTGCTATATTGTTGAATTTGGCACTCGTCGGTTTTTTCGGAAAAATGACTATGTGCCTTCAATGAGTAAGCAGGAAAATATTGCAATGTTTGATACATAAAAATTTTAAAAATATAACTCAGTACTCACTGCAGTGAGTAACAGAGAGTGCATTTTCTCGTCGACGAAAACGTAAAGTCACGGATAGATAGACGGACGGACATGACTAGAACAATAGGGCATTTTTTCCATAAATGAGAAAATGCGCTAAAGAGAAGATCTATTTTTGTGATTTAGTATAGAAAATAAATTATATAAATAACTTAATAGGAAAAAATAAATAAATATTTTCAAATCATAATGATGGGAATTCGATATTAGGAAAGCCCTTATTCAAGGGAAGTAAGATTAATATCCATGATTTTGATAATATTCGTAAAACTTTGCACCAGCATTGCATAAATTTCGTTTTATTTTTTGAGCTTCAAACAGCATAATAAATCACTCATTATAATATTTCAAGTTGGGATCATTATATAATACCTAATTTGATAGTCCTCACTGCTTTCAATCATCAAGATTTCAACGTTCTTACCTTGCACAAAGAAACAGAATTAGTTGTCATAATATCCTAAAATATTTCTTGTATTAATAACATGATTTTCTTTGCAAATTTTTCACAGCTCAAACCATCTGCTCCAGAACAACCGGTTTTTATACATATTTCACGGTTGAAAAAAGCAGTCTTATCGCCATAAATGTGTTCACAGCTTCGTCCATGTATGGAGAGGTTACAAGAGACAGCTTCACGGCACCCAAGGTGTCACCCTCTCTTGACCTTTGCTGTAGTGCTTGCCTTGAAGCCATGTCGCCGCCACTCGCACCTTTCACAGAAACTCAAGCGAAAAAAAAGGAACAACTTTGGCTCACAAATTTTAAGCTTTTTCCTGAATTTTTATCATTAGAAAATTTTGAGATTTGAGTTATAAGCTATTTATATTAACAAAGTTGTCGAAGAATATTTAATAATTTTGAGAGGTAACAAGGTTCGACTTAGTATTGGAAATTAATCGATTGATTTTCATTGCATTTAAATTGTGCTAAAATTCATAGACGTGAATTTTTTGTCGCTCAATTCTTCTCAGAGAATGAGTTATTTCTACACATTAGGAAAATTAAAAGCGATTGATTCCACAAAGAAATAAACTTTGCTTTTCTCCATTAACGTTATTTACTCATTGTTACGTCGTTCAATGCACGACGTTGCATTTTTGTTTTGTTGCATTTTCGGGAAGAGTTTTTTTTATAATTTCGATACTAAAAATAAAATCGATACCCAAAGGGCTTCCATTTTTTTCTGAATCGTTTGACTAGATTACTATTATTGCAAATATAGCAACCTAAATGAATGTTAGATCTCAATTTCAGAAGTTTTTTTTTAAGAACTGGTAAAGAATTTCAAATGAACCGTTTATCAATGTACAGTGGAATTTGGATTTTTAAAGATATTAATTATTACGGCTTTTTTACCATTGAAAATGTTTACCTACTTAATAACTATTCTTTTTAACATTATCATGAGAAATCGTTTGTGTAATGTATACCATATAAAATAAATATAAAGTTTAATCCCAGTCCGATGAAGCTTCAAAAACTGATAGCAGTCTCCAGTTTTCATTCAAAATTTCATACAAAAACTAATCGCGAAGCTGAATATGAATAAGATTATGGTTGCTGAGGCCCGTTCATAACCCATCAGGCCATCACTCATCGTCACTGCTGCGTAGTTCCTCACGTCAGCGACTCTCGCGTCAACATATTTAGCCTCCCTAAACATGGTCTTTTAATGTCGGCCCGTTCCAAGTGTCTGGGTAAGTGGCATGAATTCTTTTTAGCAAACGCAAAGCCACGATTCCTGACTGCATCGAGTGGGTCAAATAAAATTTCCGAAATATCTAAAAATTTAAACGATAAATCACAATAAATTATTTTCCATTAAAAATCAATCTTTTTGCCGAGAACGAAATTATAGTGTGAATTAAAATTAATTGGTTCATTAAGCTAATATTTCATCAGTGAATCAATTTTTTTGTATTACCGGTTTTATCGCAGTCAAACTTTTCATTTTATGGTGATAAAATAAAATTCTACAAGTCTACACTAATTTCCTACATCCGACTCTACAATAAACAAACCTTATAATACGACCGCAGTCTAAATCAATAAATTTTCACCAGTTCTTCAGTGTTGCTTCAAATGAAAAAAAAAAGAAACCTCAATAAATCTCACTCGTAGAGCGCACGCATTTACGGACGTAACGCGACCCGCGCCCCGCAATAACGTGTCAGAGATTTCAACGCGGCCGGAAGCGGCGCTAAAACCAACGCGTTTGCGTTGTCATTTTCATCGCGCAGCTAACGAGGAAACAGCAATTTTCCAAGGCAAGGCTCGTGCCACGGTCATGTGAGATGCCGTCTATTATCTTAGCTTGGGTAAGCACGGGAAGCTTAGAGTAAACGACGGTGACATCCTCGTGCTACTTAATTTTGTATCTTTTTGAGCACGGCAGATTTTCAAGCGGGTTGCGTGCGAGTATGTGAGGGTTTGGCAGTTATTTCAGGTGTAAATATATTATGAGTATAATATTATATTATAAGTACTTATATTATCAGTCTGCTTATATCGCAAGTTCACAAGGAATTTATGACGGACGGACAGCCGGACAGACAGAAAGACGGACATGGCGAGCACGATAGTGCATTTTTCCATAACTGAGAAAAATACGGTAAAAAGCATTTCTTGCTCATACTCACTGTTACCAAAATATGTAGAATTTGATATTATAATTAAGGTTATGAAAATAGTGAATTCCACTCGCTACTTTGGCATGAGGAGAATTGTTGGAATAATAAGTCACTAATATGCTAATAGTAGTAGTAATTCACTCAAATTAAATAGATTAGTGTCATACAAAAATTCAAAATTCTTTCAGTTTTATTGCCTGCACGCGTGGCGCATTTTCTATTCAGCAAATGAGATTGTTACTCGTCTCAGAAGAGACGAGTAACATTTACAAACCTCCTATTGAACAATGGATATTTCTCGTAAATTTTGAGAGTCATAATGATATGAAATTTGTACGAAAGTTTAATATACCCGTAATAAAACTAGCAAATTACAAAAAATTTTATCGGTGAAAACCATGTGAAAGTGACATAAAATTGAACCAATTATTTTCAACGTACTGAAAAATATTCATTAAATGAATATCTGTTGACCGCTAAGTAACTACGTTCATTAAGCTTGAAATTTATAAAACAAAATCGCTGCCACCTAATGATGCAATTTTAGCTCCAACAGACGACATTGTCAAGCTACGAATTGCCGAATTTATACCGACAAGAAAACTTTTTTTTCCAGGAGCGAATTATCGCCCAATAGAATCAGACATCGTACAACTACCTAACTAACGGATTACAGATCTGAATTTATTCCACCCTTTAAATACTTGATACTCTCTACAATGCAGAAAATGTTATTGCAATTAAATTCTATAAGAGAATTCATAAAAAATAGATTCTAAAATATATAACCCTCGTAAATATCGTGTAATGTTAACGAATATTACAAAATTTAACTTAGAATTATAATTGATTTAACCAACTACATGAAAGCAAATTATTATATATAATAATAATTATAATTGTATATTATTAATAGCTTCTTAGGTAAAATATATTTTAGATTTTATGTGTGATATTTCTTAGACATTATATTTAATATTTCTGAGATATAATATTCATTTCTTTAGATGAAATAATTATTATTTATCTTAGACATTTAATTTTTGATTATTTTTTTCAGATATTATTAAAACGCTTGAAACAAACGGTAAATTCTCAATTAAAACCCAACACTAAGGGAGCAAATAACCCATAGATAACCAAACTAGCATTCAAATACCACAAGTTTTTAGACAGTCGCATACAATTATCGGCCAATGAAGGCGTGCAGAGTTAGAGGTAAATGCCGTCAGGATTTCGCCCTCGCTCCCCATGCATCAAGGCCCCAAATTAGGCTGACAGTCCCGCAGGAAGAACTGCCTCTACCTGAGCCTCGCTGATAAGCTTCTACCTCAAACCTATGTTAGGATCTTGCTTTTGAGGCGACCAGCAACTCTTTTAAAATAAAGGACGATTTCAAGACAATTATCAACTGGTAAAAGTGCATGGAAAATTTTAAGTGGATAGTATATACATGAATATTTTCGGGAACATGATTTTATTGCAGTTTCGAAAGATGCAATAAACTTTATTCGAAAGGTCGCAATAACCTTTATTTTGAAAAGTAGTAATTTTATTAAAAATGTCCTATCTTATATTACAGAGTGACGTACAAAACCCGTCGATCAATGACTGCAGCAAATGTTGGTATGTAAATTGCACTATTTATTAAATAAATTGTAACTTTTTCCTGATGATTAAATTCATTTGTAAATTATAAATAGAAAATTCACAGAGGTTTTCGCTTTATATGAAAACAGTGAATACGTTGAGTGCATTATACAATAATTATTGGAACTTATTCGGTATTAATATTGGGATTTTTTCGAATTTTATGAAATATATGCACAAATATCATTGATATCAGTATAGGATGGCAAAATTTGTTTATGTAGACCTGTTCATTTTATTCATTTAGACGCGACCAGAGAGTGAGTTTTATTTAAAATTAATTTAAAATTTGCTTGTAGTTTTTCTCGATAAGTCGAACTAGAATTTTCATTGCCAAATGATGGAAAATGATGGAAGAAGTAGATTGTTTGGGAGCAAATCACCAAGTAGACATTAATTATCTTTCTTCTAATTGTCTTAGTCTCATCTAACACTATTTATTAAACGCACTTGATCATAAATTCCGCTTGACACCCTAACGCAATTCAGCGATTGAGCGCCGACAAGCCAGGCGACATTGAACGTATGCGCATCGGTCGAAGTTGCACGACCGGTTGCCAATGAAGTAACGGTTTGCGTCAGACGCGTACGTTGTACATGCAGGGTTTGTTTCCTCATAGAGCACAGACATTGCAATGGCACAGCTTCAACTGATAACGAACCAGTTAATTAATGTACGCTTACGCTTACTGTAAAAGACCTTGACTCATGCTGCTGGGGTGACAGATTCCTTGGCATAACATGTTGCCGAATTTTATCATCGGGGTTGTTTGAAGTCCAACTAAAACTGCTTCAGACGGATGTGATCGGTTAGCTGGAAGCAATTCCTGTAGCCCTGTGTTTGTTGTGTGGAATTATAATTACAGTTGGAGTTTTTGGACTAATTTCTTTGAGAAAAATGTGACGGTTGACAAATTAAAATCTGTAATAGTTGCTAAATACTTATCAGTGCTCAGTTCAAAATTTATAACGTTTTACCGGCGCACCTCAGTGCAAAATGAAACAGATTTTACGCGCATAAATTACCCACATGCCACAGGGGAAGTTTGCACTCTAATCGATGTTGAGTATCTTCAATCAAATATCTGACAGCCACTATAGCAGATCTCACTGGCCAACCGCACAACTAATCACTGCATAGTCATTGTCACGAACACGCTGCATTCACACTCAGTTCTCGGAATCATTTATGAAATGAAGTTTTTACTTCGCTAGCTGCCGACCTTGGCATTCACTTGCCTGCTGCTAGGCACACGTTGGTCACATATGGCACTAGCAATAGCATAAACCAAGGAAATCATTTGTAAATTAAACCAGGCTCACTTGAACCTTCAATCGTAATTGAATTGACTCGAACCATGATCAAGCTGGTGCGATTCTTCTCAGTTATGTGCAGCACCATGCGTTTCATTTCCACATTTTACTGATGTACCAAGAGTGTGGGTACCGGTCAATTCTAGGGTAATACTGTCAGTTACTGATTATGAATTTAAACTGGTGTGGCAAACGGTTCTGTAATGTATTGGAATCGCTGCATTGCAGTTGTTAAATTGTTACCTTGCTACCTTACGCACTTGGATTTTAAATGCAGCACCCTATGTCTTCGTCTAACATATGAACTGGAACGAATGAAACAACAAGTGTTACCAAAATCATTTCCAGCAACGGTAACCTAGGAATTGCTTCAAAGGGTGCGATGTTTATGATGAACTGGCTGATACGTCGTAATGTTAACTTCTATCTTCAAAGTGAATAACCATTTATTGTTTGATCCACACAAACTCTTATTTGAGAGATGAGGCTCACGTAAATGATCATCCGGCGCACTCTCAAAATTTGCCTCCTTAACTCTTAGGTTGAATTTATTTCTTTATCTAAGGTTTGAGCTCACAATTACCTTGAATTTACACAGGAAGCTTGCTTTCTATATTGACGCCTGATTAATCAACTAACCTTGGTCAGCTTAATTTAGTCACTTCATCCAGCGCAGACATGCGATCTACAAACGAGTCCGCGATGTCATTGCGGATAAGGCCACGAAATCATCATAGGTTGTGAAATATTCAGTTTCTTATTGGTGAAACGCTGATCACACATTGTCGAGGATCTTCAGTCTCAACAGTTAATTCTTTAAAGATTTAGAAAACAAACGAAATATACACCAGCCTCAATGTTTTAATGAAAAAAGAAAGAGTTTGAAATTTTAAATACGACTGGCGTTCATCTCTGGCATTTATAACAGTTGCGTTTCATGGCTAGATTTTTGCAAGCGTTCTTTAATACGAAATTGTCCCACATTATTCAATAAAAAGTTCTTCATTCATTAATCACGGTGCAATTTTAGGACAATATTTAACATCTTACTTATAATTTTAAGACTTTTACGAACCGAATAGGTAAAATGTAAATCACTGCAGCGATCGGTAAAGTTATGAATCCGATAGATATTATGCGCGAATTTTATTTAATTTAACACCCCATTTAAAGTACTTCATAAAGCCTGGCGGCTGACGTCATTTGAGTAAATATTTTTTCATATTTTTTTTAATGTTATGCAGTGCCCATCCATTCCATGCATCGAATAATAATTGTTATGTACATTTCGATACTTCAGTGAATTTATGGTGCAATTTTCACGAACACCGGCAGCGGTTTCGATACCGCATAATTGGAACAAAAATTAAATATGCTTGAACTCAATTTTGTGAGCAGTAAACATTTTAATTTTCCGCGTACATAATTTACTGATTCTCCTCGCAAAATGCGAAGAAAAAACAGTTGAATGATTTACTGCTTATCGTGCATACATGTACTTTTTGCGAGCTCATTTTATTCGAATTTATATTAATTCTGAAACGCCTATTATTCTACTAATATACTTTTTACTGAGCGTTTTAGTATAACGGCAAAGGAAATTACGTGGTCAAGCATGAAAATGCGACGCGCATAAGTATTTTATTCGAATATTCTTTTAAAAACAACTATCGTATTCAACGAAAAAAAATCTTTTTCACATTTGGTGAAAAAGAAGCAGGAGTCTCAAATATAAATTCGATGAAGGCAATAATGCGCTAAGAGTTAAACTTCAGCCTGACAAAAACGAATGCAAACTATTCTGCAAATTTTTATGATGCTCTTTGCGCCTTCTAATTTAGTAGCTACATTTCTTTAAGCAATCGTCAAGTAAATGCTCGCAAACGGAACTCCGGTGATCGCTCATGGACTGAACGGAGCTTGGGCGCTCCCAGACTTTCCTTGTCAGGGCGATTGTCCGGAATTTTCTTATCAACAAAGGAACGCAACGTTTATTAGCGAGATATGTTTCATGGCAATTACTCAATCCTGGGCTTTCTTAGGACTCATAAGTGCTAATTTTCGGTAATGAACCTTATCAGGTAAATATGCTAGCTTGCTAAGCAAAATTGCGAGGACTTGGTTTAATGAACTGCTGGTATAAAGCCACTTCTATCCGTCGTTTTCGGCTTGCTGAATTTGTCAGAGCAATAAATATGAACCAAGAAATTAATTCATTTGTCATTTCTTGGAATCTTTAAAATTGACAGATACAGTGATTTAATGCCGAAACTATTATGAGATCTATGTACTATGATTTTGAAATATAGCAATTTTTTATCATTGCTTAATCATAATCCTTTTCGGAAATTTGGCCACCAAAAAGAAATCAAACAACCATTTTCTGATACCTGATTTTTTCTTGCGCACAATGACCAAAGCCCATTGAGACAACACTGTTGAAAAATTACATTTATCAATGTCATTGTTATTAAAGATGCAAGGTTCATTAAGTTCTGAAAAAAATCAATAAGGATGATTTAGTCGTGACTCGAGCTCGTCGAGTTCGCACTTGAAGCGCTAACGGAGTCTGACTTGCACATGCGTTAGCCTCGCCTCAATCCTATCGTCAATAACGATCTTTATCACAGCGATGGACCCGCGTAAAACACTGAAATTATTTCCGTCGAGCTCGTTACTCGGCATAAGATCTTTCATGACGAACGTGAAGTATATAATTTGGCGGAACTCGCTAATAGGCACAATAGTTTATGAATGACAACCTCCATGTCGTCGTGGTACGGATACTGGTCTACTGGCTGCATAGACTGTCGTTAACAGGGGCCGTCGGCTCAGGCTTATCTGTGAAGTGATAACCGACACGGAATTACGTAGCAAGACTACTTCCAGCCCCTCTGCTATTACTGTTACTGCTGTTTTACTGTTACTACTGTTGATACTGCTGCTGCTTAATTGTGCTGGTAATGCTGACACTGTTCTAGACGCAGGCACTGCTGATGGTGTGGTCACTGTAAGGTTCAGTTGACTGCCAGCAATGGTGCTGAAGTTGCCAGTTGCATTTATTGGTGAAGCCACAGTGATCATTACCAAATATTACCTTTGCCAAAAATTTTCCCGTACTTTTCGTAATGCTTCCTGAGGCATAATGACGGTCTTGCAAAAAAATGCAATGAGTTAATGTCGTTATACTCATGGGTTGATGTTGTGTCAGTTATAAATGTTCAAGAAATAAAATAATTCCAAATGACCACTGAGTCTGCAATTTTTAATTTAAGTGAAATTCCTCGGACTTATTCGAGCCAGTCCGGTGGGAAAAAATTTAGTCTAAACATTTATCACTTCATTTCGAGGGTCGATATGTAATGTCTAGACAGACATTGCTATGATTTACATTAATAATGTATCAAAAAGTTCCGTACGTGGTTCGTCAAATATTAACAAAAATAATCTACATAACACAATATAAAATAAAAACAGTTAACTTTCTATTTAGCTACCTCAATGAACTGTGATTTTATGACCTTCGGGTTGCACACATGCTTTCAATTATTCATTCTGTGTCGCTGTGTCGGGTATTTAAACCTAGAAAAATTCATTTGCATTATGGCTGATTTAAGCCTCATTTATTTGAAATTCATATAAAGTAGTCATCTGTGACTTTTC